GATTACGGGAGTAATTCGATTCCACTTTGCATTCCCACACAAATCTTAATTCCAAACTAAATATTGCAAACGATAATTGGCACTAGGTGATTAAATACTTGAATCCCATGAATCTCAACTTCTCTCTAATTGTTTTCAAAATCCTGAACCTCTGTTTTATTTTTTATTTATTTTATGCCAATCAATCATCTAAGTAATTGTTAGGATTAGCTCTAATGAATAAGTTAGTAACTAGTGCTTGATACAACCACTTCCCTGTGGATCGATAACTCGTACTCCGAGAATTATTTGTTTGCAAATATACTACGCATCAAATTGGCGCCGTTGCCGGGGAGGTGGTGCTTCTAGTATTAACATTAGTGAAATCTTTATTCTAGGAGACTAGTCCATTTTTTTTTATTTTATTTTTATTTTATTTTATTTTATTTTGCTAACCCATAACAAGTTCATTGTTTTGAGTGTGATTAAGTCTATGGATAGATATGCATCCCAAGGAACCATGCCACCGTTTTACCCTCCTTCTCAAGGTTATGAGATGAGTTGGAATATGAATCGAGAATATGGAGGAATGGAACAACAATTCCCTTTCTCAAATTTTGCCAACTCTAGTCAAGGATATTATCAAGAAAGTTCATATCAAACATCACAACTCCAATGGTGCTCATTTTGTGGTGGGAATCACTTTGTGGAAAATTGTTACACGCTCAACCCCGCTAACCATATCCCTCAACAATCTACTCAAGGATTTTGTGCCAACATGAGTCAAGCTACTTATCAAAGATGCACACCACCTACTCCACAACCCTCATGGTGCATGATATGTGGTGGACCTCATGAGGCGGAAAATTGCTTTATCATGGATCCCAATTACAAGTATCAAGGGCAAGCTCAAGAGTTGCCGTACCAAGAGTTTCAACAAGACTGTTAATCACTTGACCAAATAATTGAGATGAAGTCCAAAGAGACCAAGACAATGCAATTGTGCTCGAAATATCTGGAGTTACAAGATCACATGAATGCTCAACTTGATCGCATGAATGCTCTACTCGATCACATGATAGCTCGACAACAAGATTTGACAATTCAAGAGCCACTTCAAGATTCATTTAATGGAGAGGTTCTAGAAGAGTTGCTCTTGCCAAATGAAGGTCATGAAGTTGAGAGAAATAAAAAGGATGATGAGGATCTTAGGGAGGGAGATGAAGAAATATTTGATAAATGCATTGAGATGGAGACACCAAGCTGGGAGGAAAATGTAGAGTTGCAAGGTAATGATGGCAATGAACATATAGAGAGTTGCCCATTAGATGAGGAAGTTCTCAATAGAGCACATGATTTGAATGAGGATGTCTCACCAATGGAGAACACTTCCCTTGGAGAGAACTTCAGAGAAATTTTGAATTTGGGAGGCATTGGAGTTCTTAAGGATAATGACACACATTTGCCTATCTATATATCCAATGATTCCCAATACTTGCTGGTTCATGTGAATGATCCGAGACTCTCATTACTTGTTGAACAAAAGAGTGATGAAAAAGAAGGAGAAGAGAATGGAGGCATAATTCTTGATTCGGGCAAATGTGGTTCCTTACATGATGACGTGAAGGGTTCGAGCTTAAGAGAGTTTATAAATGGACACCACTTGAAGAAATACTTGGAAGAGAAAGTTGATGGAATGAAGGGGATTTTTCTTCTCCAATCACCTGATGGCTAGAGAGGTAACGTCGAGCTAACGACGTTAAATTTAGCGCTTCATGGGAGGCACCCCATGTTATCTTTTATTACTTTCCCTATTTATTTATTGCTTTCTAGTTTCGTCTTATTTAGTTTTATTATTTTCTAGTTCGTGATTATTTTATTGCTTTTTAGTTTTCTCTTTTCTCTTGTTCTCCTTTTCTTTTATTGTGCATCAGGGATGATGCAAAGTTTTAAGTGTGAGGGGGAGGAATCATTAATTTGGGGATATTTCTAAATTTTTAAAATTTTTGCTTTTGCTTGGATGACTCATATGCTATTTTTGGTGAATAAGTTACTTGTCTTAGCATGCAGTTACAATTACTCTCTCTTGTTGGTTTGTGGCTTGTTTTAGTGGTGCTTGCTGCATCTCAATTTGTGATGGATGATTTGAGGTGTAACACATATTTGATCTATTCCCTTGCCAATAGCTTTGTTAACCACTTAATAATTGGATTAATTCTTGATCTTGTGTTTTGCATTGATAGTGAAGGCTTATGTGAGATTCCGGTCATGGGTGTTTTGCTAGAACTTGCCTCATTACTCCCTAAGTGATGTCTAAGTTTTGCATGTTTTGAAGTGATTTAGGCCATTTTTGTTTAGCCATAGCCTTTAAACCTGTCCCTATATATATTTTTATCCTTCGTATCCCCGTTGTGCCTTTTGTTTGTTTAAATAAGTGCTAAGCACTTATCCCCTCTTTGTGATTGTTTTTCTTTGATTTACCCCATTATTATAACCCTTAACCCGTGGCCAAATATTTCCCTTCCACCCTTGAGAGAATGAAACTTTTATCTTTATCTTTTCCGTAAGAAGAGTTTTATGGAGTTGTGCTAAAAAAAAAAAAAAAAAAAAAGCAGCTAGTGTTACAAATGTTCAAGTGTGGGGGTCATGAAAGTTTGGATTAAAATTATCTTGCTATATCCAAAAGAAGTCCAAAGACAAAGAAAAGAATGAGAAAAAAAAAAAAAAGATTGAAAGTTTTTGAGTTTGGATCCCCATTTTACCAAAGAGTTGCTAAGTTCTTAAAAGAAATTTGCTCCTTGGAATTATGATTATCTCATCTCTTCCAAATTTTGAAAAGTTTAGATAAATTGTGACATTCTCTCTTTTTGATTAATTTTTCCATACCACTTCTTTGTTAGCCATCACCCGTAGCCCCATTACAAGCTAAATAAAGTCCTATTTGATCTTAGCATGCATTCTTAGATTTGATCTAGGGGAGTATGAAAGGCAAGCCTAAGGGATCTCATTCATGAACCGTATCTTGCATAATCTCAACTGAGTATTTGTGCACATTTGATCCTCACATGCATTAAATTCTTGGTGCTTGGTTATTGGCTTGGAAATGGGTCTCTTATGTGCCAAACTAATTTGATTCTTGAAGCTTGTTGTTTTGTAGCAAGTGGGTTGGTGGTTTGAAAGGTTGTGCAAGAGAGAACATGAGTAATTTGTATGTTTTGACTTGTGATTTTATTCCTTAGTTTCGCTTGAGGACAAGCAAAAGCTTAAGTGTGAGGGGGTGATGTTATCACATCTTTGCTTGTTATTATAGTTATTTTGAATCATCTCAGTATTTAAGTCCTTTAATTTTGCTTATTTAATACATATTTTCCTTGCTATTATCATTTAATTATGGTTCACACTTGTTTTGAATGTTTTACGGTGTTTGTTAGTGTTTTTGAACCATTTTAGGTCAAAGATATGAGCAAGGGAAGTTCAAGGATGAGTTTTGAGCAATTTTGGACGAGTTCGGAGCCCAGTGGACTCGACGCGTCGAGCCCTTGGCTCGACGCGTCGAAATTTTCCAGTAGCTAACTAATTCGCGCACAGGAAGTCTCGACGCGTGGAGAAAATTCTCGACGCGTCGAGAGAATAGGCGTCTATTTCTGGGATAAAAACAGACGCTTAAAGTGGCGCAGCTGGGCGAAATTCAATACAAGCGCGAGATCTCTTTTCCTAATATCAATTGCGCGGATTTCAAGGCTCATATCTCCATATTAAAAGTTAGCAATTCAAGGAATCTTCCAAATTCTAAATATCATTAAAGACGACAATTTCTTTATTTAAATATAGGAATTAGAATTTGAGTCCAATTTGGTACAAGATTCCTATTTCATCTCAACTTTGTACCCACTATAAAATCCCTCCTTCCTCAACCCTAATGTGAGGAACAGGACAGAGACCGAGAGAATTCAGAGATTCTTGGAGACAAGAAGGAGAGAAATCAAGAGCCACAAGTTGTCTTGGAAAGCAAGAAGAAGACTAGGGAGATTTGGGAAAATCGTCTGGTTAATTCTTGTACTCTTTTGATGATTTGTAATTCTTTATTTATATTTGCTATGTATAATTTAGTCATGCTTGGCTAAATTCTTTAGAGATTCTTGGGTAAAAGTGTTTATGAACCTATGTGCCTGAGCTCTCAGTTTCTTTAATATATTATTATTTGGGTTTAATACTTGTGTTGCAATCGTGATAATATTGTTTGATGCTTGTAATTAATGGCCATAGTTACTAGCTTCATAGCCATGTTTGTGTCACCAATGGGAGTTGGGGCATAAATTAGGGCACACACGATTGCACCTAATGGTTGGTCCTTGGGAAAGGGGAACTTATTAGGGGAAGTTTATTCTAGATTGTTGCCAATCGGGAGATGGTAGTAATTAGGAATAATTGAATGCTGATCTTTGATCTTATTGGGTGTTTAAGCCATGGGAGTGGAAATTCACTAGGAATAGAGATTACGGGAGTAATTCGATTCCACTTTGCATTCCCACACAAATCTTAATTCCAAACTAAATATTGCAAACGATAATTGGCACTAGGTGATTAAATACTTGAATCCCATGAATCTCAACTTCTCTCTAATTGTTTTCAAAATCCTGAACCTCTGTTTTATTTTTTATTTATTTTATGCCAATCAATCATCTAAGTAATTGTTAGGATTAGCTCTAATGAATAAGTTAGTAACTAGTGCTTGATACAACCACTTCCCTGTGGATCGATAACTCGTACTCCGAGAATTATTTGTTTGCAAATATACTACGCATCATCACCCCACTCGCCATAGGCTCAAGGCCCTATGATGTAAGAATTCCAAAGATCAAATTAGGAAAGGGCAGTCGTACCTTTTGTTCTCTCGGGTGAATCAGAGTGAGTATATGAGAATAGATCCATGACCCAAGATCAAAGGACATCTTGGTTCCAATTCTGAATAAGAGACTGGCCAGTTGCTTGCCGACAGTGTGGAAATGTGCTGAAGGGAGCTAGTTATGCAGAGCAAGACGATGAAGAATCACATACTTGGAGGTGAGCTGAGAACTAGGTAGAGTATCCTTATCACTAGTAGGCAATCCATCAGCTTGTCCACCAGTGATCGTTTTGGCCACTGCATCCCAGTCAGTGATAGCCTCCTCTTGGACTCCTTGCAGGCCATAGTACTCGTTAATTTTGTCAGGGCCAAACACATACCATTTCCCACGAATGAAAATCTGCATTGGACGCACTCCAGACACATTATCCATATCATCATTGAGATTACAGTAAAATTCGTAGGTGAGCAGCTTTGAATAAGGACAGATGGCAGTGACAGTCTTCAGTAGACCCACTTCTCTCAGCAAAGGCAGAACATCACAGACTTAAACACTTGTTGCAGAACTTTTTTGCTTAACAGAAGACCGTAGAGTCTTAAACACTTGTTGAACAAGGGGATTGGTCTCAGGATTTGCAGGCTCACTAGACTTCCTTTTCTTCTCTGGTTGACCTACATCAGCAGTGTCCTCACCAGATTCAACCACAACCTTCACAGGAACATTCTTCCTTTTCGACTTCCTTGTCTCCTTGGATGGGGAGTGGACATGAGACACAGAGTGACTAGAATCAGACACATGAGCAGATGAACCACCAAGGAGATTAGTGACCTCTCGTATTCTGAAAGTGGTGGAATCAGGATGAGCAGTAGCCTCAATAGTTGGAACCTGAGATGTGGGAGCTTGGGTTCCATAGACTTCAGCCAGTATTTTTTCATCTTCACTCGAGGATTCAGATGGGTGAATCACTCGGTATGGTTGTGGAATGGAAGCAGAAGGTAAACCAGCTTCCAGGTTTTCACCTAACGATGTGGAAGTGTAGACTGGGATTCCACCCTTTTTCTTAGACTTATGGGGACTTGAGAGATTAGCAGTCTCAACATGAGCAGGAAAAACAGAAAAATCATCAGCCGGTACAGCAGAAGAAAGATCAGCAGGACAGATTTCTTTCGGATCATCAGCAATTACAGCAGGGGACAGACCAATATTATCAGCAGAAAACACAACCAGACTCAAATTGTTGGGCTCATCAGATGGTTTTTCTTTCTCATCAGACACATTCGAGACTCCACTTTTCACACAATCAGACTCACCCAAAGGTATAGACGAAGGATCAACAGATACAGATGATTTCACAGAAATTAAAGCAGGCACATTCTCAGAATCAACAGGTACAGTAGATGGGGCAGCATTAGACACTGGATCCTCAGATTTATCAGGTGAAATTTCTATAGGGGAGTCAGAAGTATTTGACCTGTTACGCAGAAACTCAAGACGATGTCTGGCTTCATTCTAGGCAGCCTGAAGATATAGGGGTTGTGCAACAGCTCGACGGCGGGATATTTCTTCATACTGAAGGGCTCTTTGAGAAAAATAGTGAAGGAACACCCAGCGCGATTGCCATCTGAGGGCTCTGGAATAAATGCCGGAGAGATGTCATCATCTGCCTCGGAGGCCAGCAGCAGGAGTTCACTGGTGTCATTGTCGGACCAGTCGGCATAGAACTCTGGGTAATGGACAGCACTGTGACAATGATTTCATCGCGGAGAAGAGGGTCAAGCTTGAGTTTCTTCTTCATTGCAAACTGCAATAGTGTCTGAATATGTTTAAAGGCCACTTCTGGAGAGTGCATCTTGCTTCCAAGTTTGATGATGATATTTCTTACAGGGTCCGCCATTAGAGATGCTTGTTAGCAGAAGAGAGAATTCAAGCTAAGCAGAGATGCAGAGAGAGAGAAAACTGAGTGCAGAGATAATCTTAGAGATTTTTTTCTTCTATTCAAGATTGGCCCGATAACCAATAGACGCAAGGGTGATGAACCCTAATCAATGCGGCTTGTCAAAAATCATGCAGAGGCGATGTGATTGACACAACGGTATGCCTTCTTTTTAGGCAAGAAACGGATGCCAAGGAAATTTGAAAATTGAAATAGCCTAATTACTTTTATGGTAAATTAGGTTAAGATATTTTCTTAACAAAAATGAAGGGAGTTTAAAAGGAAGTCAAAACTGAAATTTGACTAGAATACGTAAACCTTGTACTCTCCTTCTGAGTGACGATCTGCCCTATTAGTCAATTCTGCAGATTCCCAGTGCAGATTTGAGAATCTCAAACCGGTTTGCGTCTAGGGGCTTAGTCAGGATATCAGCCAACTGTTTCTCTGTTTGAACATATTCCAACTCAATCTCCTTTGGTTCTACCAGATCTCTGATGTAGTGATGCCTTATATCAATATGCTTCGTCCTGGAGTGTTGAACTGGATTCTTTGAGATATTAATAGCACTGACATTGTCACAATAGAGTGGCATAATTCCTTGAGTAAGACCATAGTCTAATAACATCTGTTTCATCCATACTAGCTGAGTACAGCATCCACCAGCAGCTATGTATTCTGCCTCTGCAGTACTTAAGGAAATTGAGTTCTGTTTCTTACTCAGGCATGACACCAAGTTCTTACCAACGAAGAAGCAACCACCAGATGTACTCTTACGGTCATCAATGTTCCCTGCCCAGTCAGCATCACAGTATGCAATCAGACTCAGTTCACTGTCCTTGGAGTACCATAGACCATACTGAATCGTTCCTTTTATATATTTCAGAATCCGTTTAGCAGCTATGAGGTGTGATTCCTTTGGATCAGATTGATACCTTGCACATATTCCAACACTAAACATTATGTCTGGTCGACTGGCCGTCAAGTACAACAGACTTCCTATCAGGCTTCGGTAGACTGTGTTATCTACTGATACACTAGTGTCATCTTTGGATACTTTTGTGGAGGTGGAGATCGGTGTCCTGGATGGTTTACATGATTCCAAATCAAACTTCTTGACTAAATTCTTAGCATATTTCTCTTGTGAGATAAAGTACCCTTCAGAGCTTTGCTTAACTTGCAGTCCTAGGAAGTATGTCAGTTGACCAACCATTGACATCTCAAATTCTTCCTTCATAAATTTTACTAACTCATCTGTGTATTTCTGTAGAGTTGATCCAAACACAATGTCATCTACATAGATTTGAGCAATGGTGACATGACTTCCAGTAGTTTTCACGAATAAAGTTTTGTCAACACTCCCTCGTTTATAACCATGCTGCAGCAGATACTGGGTCAGTTGTTCATACCATGCCCGTGGGGCTTGTTTAAGACCATAGAGAGCCTTTCTAAGCTTGTAGACATGCAATGGATGTTCTGGATCTTCAAATCCCTTAGGTTGCGCCACATTTACTGATTCCATCACAGATTGAGTTCTCTTGTTGTAGACTCTGTAGGCACGACTGTTTGGAGAGTATCCAAGGAAGATGCTCTCATCACTCTTAGGTTCAAACATCCCTCTTTGTTCTCTATCAGACAGCACATAACACTTTGTCCCGAACACATGAAAATACTTCAGGTTTGGCTTCTTTCCCTTCCAGATCTCATATGGTGTTTTGGTCGTTCCTGGTCTAAGATAGACCCTATTTACAGTATGACAGGCTGCGTGTACTGCTTCAGCCCAGAAGCGCTGCGACAGATGAGAGGCATGTAGCATAACTCTAGCCATTTCTTGTAATGTTCGATTCTTTCTTTCTACCACACCATTCTGTTGAGCAGTTCTAGGAGCTGAGAACTCATGTGATATACCGTGTTCGGAGAAGAAGTCTGAATATAGTGAATTCTCAAATTCTTTTCCATGATCACTTCTCAGTCTCTGAACTTTTATTATAGACTCATTCTTTTCCTTCTGAACCCTTATGCACAGAGTTTTAAAGGCCTTGAATGCTTCTGATTTTTCTCTTAGAAAGTATACCCAGCTGTATCGAGAGAAATCATCTACACACACAAATATGTATTTCTTTCCCCCAATGCTTTCAGTCTGTGTTGGCCCCATGAGGTCTATGTGAACAAGATCTAGACACTTCTCAGTGGTGATACCTCTTATTGCTTTGTGTGGTGTTCTGATTTGTTCCCCAATGGCACATGCTCCACAAACCCTTTCCATATCTATTCTGATCTTTGGTACACCTCTCACAGCTTCCAGTTTGATCAGCTTATCCATATCTCTAAAGTTTACGTGACCCAGTCGTCTATGCAAGAGTTTTGATTCATCAGATTTAGATAGGTAGCATGCAGTTTCATTAGCCAAAACATAACAATTGTCTGAGGATCGGGTTCCTTCCATAACAAGTTGATTTGCTTTGTCACTAACTTTGCAGAAGTTACGATCAAAGCACACATTCCAATTTTGATCACACAACTGACTGATGCTAATCAAATTAGCTTTCAACCCACTGACTAACAGAACTTCTTCTAATTGAGGCAAACCTGGTACATTCAGGGTACCTTTCCCAACTATTTTCCCTTTTTGTCCATCGCCATATGTTACAGATCCATTGCTTGGTTGAACAGCCATGAGACACTTTACATTTCCAGTCATATGTCTAGAACAGCCACTGTCGAAATATCATCTAGCTTCAGTTGTAGACGCAGTCAGAACTATAGTGGGGTAGCATATAACTTCTGACTTTCTGACCCAAACCTGTCTAGTGAACGGTGTAATAGTCTTGTTCTGATATTTTTCCTTCCTTTGATCTCTGTAGAAAAAATAACACTCAGGCCGAGTATGACCTTTTGTTTGACAGTAGTGGCAAATGGGAGTGTATTGTCTAACTCTGACAAACTTATTTTTGAACCTTGAATAATGAGATTGATGAGTTACTTTGGCAAGGTCCGTATCTGCAGTCTGGTCATATCTCCTTCTCTTGTCAATTTTCTACACTGACCGAGCTGACTGTCGTTGTTCAAAACTGTGAACTGCTGTGGCCTTAAACATACCGTCTTTGACAAACATAGGTGCATTATTCGAAGATTCACCTCGTTCAAATCCTAGACCTTTTTTTATCATTAGGATTTCTGCCTGAGTCTAGAATCTTGTCTAAGGTTGATGTGGTGTCCATCATCTGGATATTTTTCTTCAGACCTTCCAATTCCTTTATCAGTTTTCCTTCTCGGGATCTTATCTGAGTGATGAGATCTTCTTTTATGATAAGGTCTGTATTCAGTTTTTTTAGAAGATCATCCCTTTGTTTCAGCTCGTCATTCAGATTTTTATTGACTTTCACTAGTTGTTCCCAGCTTGTAACAAGTTTAGCAAATTCTATTTCAAGTTGAGTATGGCCCTCTTCAAAATCATCAGTTGATATGTAAGATTCTTCATCTGATTGGTTTCCATCTTTTTCCTCTTGAGATACGTTGCACATTCAGCCTGTATGTGTCCATACCCTTCACATTCTATACACTGCACTGACCGGTTGAGGGACTTCCCTGTATCTGTTGAACTGTTTCTGTTCTGTCTTGTTCGACCAGTCTGAGATTGATTGTTCTATGAAAAAGGAGTTGTTTCGGCTTTGTAATATGAGGAGTTATTTCCTTTGTATTGGGTCCTGGTGGACTGACCTTGACTCTTTCTGTTGAAACCTTTTAATATTTTCTTGAAATTTTTGGTTAGAAGTGCCAAGGTTTCATCATCTATGTCGTCTGTGTCAAATTCTCGATCAGCCTCAGCCACAAAAGCCACTGACTTTCCTTTTCTATTGCTTGCAAGATCATCATCAGCAAGCACTTCTAGTTCATATGTGTGTAAACTTCCCATAAGTTCTCCAACAGTCTTCTTTTCCCAACCTGTGTGTTCCTGAATAGCAGTTACTTTCATCCGGAAGCGTTTAGGCAAAGATCGAAGGATCTTTTTGACTACTCTCTCATCAGTGAACGGTTCACCAAGAATTGAGGCTCTATTCCTCAGATTCTGAACCCTACTGTGAAAGGTCGAAATGGTTTCCTCTTCATTCATTCTAAGGGCTTCGAATTCTGATAGTACCATTTGTAGCTTTGACTGCTTGACATCACTAGTTCCCTCAAATCTGGTTTCAAGAATTTCCCATACACATTTAGCTTCTTTTACCCCGGTGACAAGAGTAAAAACAGATTCATGCAGAGATCCTACAATCGAGTTCAAAGCTTTATTGTTCAGATCAGAGGCATTCATTTCATCATCTGTCCAAGTCTCCATGGGCTTATCTCCAGTGGTTCCATCCGCATTCTGAACAGTTGGACGGCTCCACCCATTTAGAACAGTACGATAACCCTGGTACCTTGTGCTTGGAGATATATCTCCATGCAAGCCTTCCAGAATGAGTAGTTGTGACCATCTAGTTCTGGTGGTTTCATATTTGCATCCATCCTGAACCAAAAACAACCAGCCAACGAACACACACAGAGGCACTTCCAAAATACAAAGAACAATGCAAAACTAAAACAACCCGTATGGATCAAGCCACTATGTAGACTTAAAAGCTCTGATACCACATGTAATTTTGCATTTCCTCTTTTTAAACAGATTAACTGGATTAATCAACTGACGAAATGGACCGATTGATTCAGCGATGAAGTTAGTCAGTAATAACAAACCATACAGAAAATTAAGGAAAAGATAATAGCACAAAGCCAAAGACACAGAATGTTTACCCAGTTCGATACAGTGTGTATCTACGTCTGGGGGACGATCACATAGGCGTCTAATCCACTAAATCATAATCCAATGTACAAAGGTAGATATAAGATAATCTTACCCAAGTGCCCCACACAAGGTACATACCCAGTCTACACAGGTTTAGTGGATTGTTGAAGGTGGAGAGCCATGC